AGATATTGCTGACTTTATAAAATGAACTGGAAAGTGTTCAGTCCTCTATTTTCTGAACTTATGTAGGATTATTATAAGTTCATTAAATATTTCATAAAATTCACCCATGAAGCTATTGGGAAATGGGCTTTTCTTTGTGGAAAGATATTAAAATTATTAATTCAACTTCTTCACATGATAGAGGTCTATCCAGATTTACTATTTCTTCTTGAGGTAGTTTTGATAATGTCTTTATAGGAATTTATCCATTTCATGTAAGTCATCTACTTTGTTGGCATAGAGTTGTTCATAATATTTTCTTATAATTCTTCTAATATCTGTAGGGTATGTAGTGATGTCCCCCCTTTCATTCCTGATACTGAGTTTGTGCTTTCTTGGCACTCTAGGTAAAAGTTTACCAATTTTGCTAATTTTTTTTATAAGACAAACTAGGTTGCACTGAGTTTTCTATTTTATAGATTTCTAGTATATTTTGTTGCAGCTTCTTAAGGTTGGGAGCTCACTGGTTTCAGATCTCCTTTCTAACATAAGCATTTAAAAGTAAGCATTTCCCTCTAAGCATTGCTATACCTGCATCTCAAAATTTTTGGTTTGTTGTATTTTCTTTCATTCAATTCAAGATATTTTGATGTTACTGATGATTTTTTCCTTGACCCATTAGTACTTACAGTTGTGTTAATTTCCAAATATTTGTTTTATTCTGATTTTTTTTTCTGTTGCTGACTTTCAATTTAATTCCAGTCACCGGCAAATACCCTTTGTGTGATTATAATCCCTTTAAATATGTCAGGACTTGTTTCATATCCTGGTACGTGGTATACTCTAGACATTGTTCCAATTGCACTCGAAAGCAATGTGTGTGGTGCTATTACTGGATGGGGTCCACATTTGTCAGGTAAGTCAGTGGGGTTAACAGTGTTGTTCAAGTTATTGGAGTGGGTTATTGAAATATCTGAATCATAATTGTTCAATTAACCATTTCCCTTTTTATTTTTGTAAGTTTTGGCATCAAAAATTTGAGGCCTTCCATTTTTGGTGTCTACAGTGATAATGATTATGTTTTCCTGGTGTACCATCCTTTTTATCGTCATGAAATGCCCCTCTTTGTCTCTAATAATATTTATCTTAAGACTGATTCTGGAAGACTGGGTGGCTCAATCCATTGTCTGCCTTCAGCTCAGGTCATGATGCCAGCGTCCTGGGACAGAGCTCCCTCCTCAGCGGGAAGCCTGCTTCTCCCTCTGCTTATGCTTTCTCCCTCTCTCTCTCAAATAAATAATCTTTAAAAAACAAAACAAAACCCAAACCCTGATTCTGTCTGATGTGAAAATCACCTATCTCTACCGGTTATTGTTTGCTTGATAGATCTTTATAACTTTCCTATTTGTATCCTTGAATCTAAACTGAGTCTCCTATAGGGGTATCTCTTGCACCAGTCTGACCATCTCTGCTCTTCTATTGGCAGGTGTTGAGAACATTCACATTTGATTGATCAAAGGGTGGGGGGAGGGTTAGATCTGTGTGGGCTACTTGCTGTCTTCTTGTTCCTTTTACATCTTTCCTTGTGTAGCTGTTCTATCAACCTTTGAAAAGTATATTAAGATCTCTAAGATGGAATCGTCTATCTCTTCTTTCCATTTTGTCAGCTCTTGCTTCATAGATCTGTTTTTGCATGTGTTTACAACATAACTGTGTCTTCCTGATAGGGTGACCCTGTGTCACCGAGATGTTCCTCCTCCTCTTCTCCAGAAACAACCTTCGTCCAAAACTGTTTTGTCCAACACTCACACTGTGGCTCCAGCTTGTCTGGTTCCCTTCTGCATGGTGTGGTTTCCTCCCTGTACTTTGAGCCTATTTGCGCTGCTGGATTGAAGTGTGTCTCTTGCAAACAGCATATGGCTGCATCTTCTTCCTCCAGTCTGACAACCTCCGCCTCCTGAGTGGGGAGGTTTAGTCCTAGTCACATTGAAGGTAAGCACTGATAGGATCTGATTTACACCTATTTTGCTATTTGTCTATAGTCCTCATGTGCCTTTTTTTCTTCTAGTCTGCCTTTATTGGCTTCTTTTTTGGTAAACAAATGCTTTTTAATGTGATATTTTAATTCCTCTTGATTTTAAAAAACTATTTTTGGACTCATGTTCATGTTTATTTTTTTTAAAGATTTTATTTATTTGACAGAAATCACAAGTAGGCAGAGAGGCAGACAGAGGGAGAGGGGGAAGCAGGCTCCATGCCGAGCAGAGCGGCCCGATGCGGGGCTCAATCCCAGGACCCTGGGATCATGACCCGAGCCGAAGGCAGAGGCCTTAACCCACTGAGCCACCCAGGCGCCCCATCATGTTTACTTTAAACAAGTCAGCATTAATTCTGACACTCAACAGAACTTAATTCTGTTGAGCTGTGTCACCTCTGCTCCAACATGGCCCCACTGCCCCCTTCCTCCATGCATACTGCCCTATGTGTTATGTCTGTTTATTATGACCCGATGAGTGTTACCCTTGTTGCTTCCACAATCTTAGGTTTTGTAAAGTAAGTGAGACCATGAGACCCTGTTCCCTCCAGTGTGTCGGGTTCCGTGCGCGTGTCTGCAGCTTAATGCCTTCTGTTTGGATTTCTTGTAGGGCAGGGCCGCTAGCAACAACTACGTTTTTGTTACTCTGTGATATGTTTATTTTGTCTTAACCTTTGAAGGAGAATTCAATTGGATATAGAATTCTTGGCTGAGCCAGGCTTGGGGGAGGGGAACGGTCTTTTAGAATTCAAGGCCTATCATCCTTAAAACTGTTGAAGACAGGAAAAAGGGAAAGTGAGCAAGACATAAGCGGCTGTACGACGAAATGCAGGGTGTCCTCCCAGGGAACTTGGAGCCCAGAGCAAAGAAGGCTGCTCAGTGCCTATGGGCATAGCCATGCCGATGCTGAGCTGCCCGCAGTCTGTGCTGGGCACCCTCGTCCCTGGAGGGGACGTCCAGGGACCCTGGAGGGTCCCTGCCATGTCAGCCTCATGCTCTCAGTGGCTCAGACACACTGGCCATAAAGGGTAGGGAGCAAATCGGGCATAATGTTGGGGGATCCAGGTAAAAGGAACATGGGCATTTTTTATATTGTTCTTACCATTTTTCTGGGTGTTATTTCTGAAATATTTTCAAAATAAATTATGAAAAAATCAAGCCAGGACCCTCATCTTACAATGTATCTCAAAATATACTCCAAAGAACTTGGAAAAAGGTAAATATTGAGAACTAGAAGAAAATGGTATGGATATGGAAAAAAATCTGTCCAAACACAGAAATCTGTGAAGCAGAAAAAACCATAACCACAGATTTGATACATAAAAATGTTAAGCATCAGGGTGCCCGGGTGGCTCAGTGGGTTAAGCCTCTCTGCCTTCGGTTCGGGTCATGATCTCAGGGTCCTGGGATCAGGCCCCCCATCGGGCTCTCTGCTCAGCAGGGAGCCTGCTTCCCCCTCCCTCTCTGCCTTCCTCTCTGCCTACTTGTGATCTCTGTCAAATAAATAAATAAAAATCTTTTAAAAAAATGTTAAGCATCTAAAATTTTAAAAAATTAGACAATTAAATAGCAAACTGGATTAAAAATATCATTATCCTTCATCCTGAGGATTTCATATATGTGAAGGACAAATGAAGAACAGGCAATTCAGATAAGAGATGACTAAAATGAAGACACTCAAGATCACAGTCACAGGAATGAGGACACGTCCCTTCCAGAGTGGCAGAAGGGACAGTGGGATGCACAGGGTAGGATGCGCACAGGGCCATCATCCTGTCACTTCTCCATTCTGATCAACACATCTGAAAAGCATCAAGGGGGTCTCCGTGTTCCCTTGTGGAAACGTGTCCAGGGAGAGAATGCAATGAGGACCAGTGTTACGGCACAAAGCTCAGACACACTGTGGATAGTGAGGGCAAGAGCCCCCTGGGGGAGGTTGGGGGGCAATGCAGGCTGAAGAAGCAGCCAGGCCGGGCAGCCGCCTGTAAGAGGAGCCCCACATCACACACCCCAGAAATGGCATCCCAGGACGCTGAGCAGGGCAACAGAGGAAGTGTCATGAGTTCTCACCAGCATGTGGCAGGGAGTTCCACCCATGGGAATAAACCGGCTATACTGGGGGCCTCCATCCTCGGGAGGGGTAGGCTGCATCCGTGAGCTCAGTGTTCTCCCAGCCGGCACAATGGGCCTGAGGTGGGCAGCATGGGAGCAGCAGGCAAAGAATGGGGACAAGAGGCTGCGAGCGGGCTAAACAGCCATGTTGAGGGGCCGCCCGGCCAGCGGGAACAGTGCCCCCTGTGGAAATGGCAGAGCCACACCCAGGAGGTGCCACCCCAGCGTCCCCCAGAACAGGTGCTGTAGGCCCCCCACTCCCACTCAGCTGTGATGAGTCTGCACACACCGTGTCTCTCAGTCCTACTCTGAGGCCACTGCTAGAATATCCCCTTCAGCACAAAGCGAAGGAGATGGAGAACAGAGAACTGGGGTCAAGGGCGAGCAAGCTTAGTGCCAAGTTGCAAATGTCCGCCCCATGAGCCTGAGCTCACTGGGGGCTGGTGAGTAGGTGGGAGCAACAGCAGAGGGGCTAAGCCAGAGGCCCACCCAGCCCCCCGCAGGGAGGGGTCCAAGCCTGTTGGTGGCATAGGCACTCATCTCCCAAACCCATCAGCCACTCCAACAACCCCTGCGGCAAACCTGGTGAGGAAACCATTTTGTTCCAGGCCCAGAGAAGGTGCACCGTCACCAAAGCGTGGTCTGTCTGTGGCAGGCTTGGAGGGGGTCTCTGGACTTGGCCACCATGCCCAGGTCCTGTAGTGGGCCCAGCAGCCACACCATTTTGGGGAATAGGTCACTCCCACGCTGACATTGTTGAAGGACATCATTGACATGGCTGGGTTCTGACGGGTTTGATCGAATGTTCCTTTCCAGGGACCGTGGCTTGGTCTGCGTGCTGACCTGAGGTGTGCATGCTGGGATCCCCACTTACCCATGCGTCCGTGCTGAGGTGGGCTGATCAGAGAGATTCTTGCTGGGCCAACTGCCACTTCAGGCTAAGTGTGTAAAAAGAAAACAAGTCAGTTTCCAGTGCTGCCATTTCTGAGGGAGATTCTCTGTATTTCCTAAGGACACAGTGCTTAGTCTCCATCCACCGGGCAAGCTCCTGGGCTGGCTCCTGGGCAGGACATGGGCCCTATACCACTGCGTCCCGTGGCCCCAGGGAGCCCACCGCTGCCAGCACGTGGAGAGTCCACTAAGTGCTTTGACGGATTTTGAAAGAGAAAAATCAAGTCCTTGACTGACATCATAAGTTTTAAGATTTTATTTATTTTGAGAGAGAGAGAGAACACACACAAGCCAGGCTGGGGACAGGAGAGAATCTCAAGCAGGCTCCCCGCTGGGGGCAGAGCCCGACGCAGACTTGATCCCATGACCCTGAGATCATGACCTAAGCCAATACCAAGTCGGACACTTAACCAACTGAGCCCCCCAGGAGCCCCGATATCATAAATTTTAAAATCCTGATTAAATCCTCATTTTGTGCATATAATTTTGTCACCTTGAAATCTAGATGCCAAAGGGGTGAAGTGTTACCAGTCACAGGGAACCCTGCTCTGGCCATGCACCTGTCATGTTCCCCCTGGGGACGGTCCCCCTCCCTGATTCCCTGAGGGAATATCTCCTTGGTGAAGATGAGAGTGATGGGGGAGCCCTCTTCCAACCAGAGATGCTGCAAGGACAGGGGCCAAAAGCAGCCCAGTCCCCACTGTTCTGTCCCTAAACTTAGCCATCACCCCTCAGGGCCCTGATGGTGGCCCATCTTCCCAGCCCCCACCGCAGGCACATCTACCCCAGTGGTCCTTTACTCCACCATCCGGCAGCCACTCCTGGCTGCTGTGCTCTAGGGCGCCCCCCCGTGACCCCACCGCCTGGCTCATACCCACCAGCCAGACTCAACCCTGGAGGGACCGGCTGCGTCGGGTGAAGGCATTGCAAACAGTACTGCCCTGCCTGGAGGGCCGGCTCTCCATGGCCACGGACAGTGCGCTCACACCCACAACAGAGCTCCCCAGTTTGAAGCGTCTTTCCTAGCCATCTGTGGGAACGGTGGGCTGGATGCAGCTGTTCCCCCATAGGCTTGTCTGGTCCCACTCTTTCTGGGTCCTTCCCATCAGCCAGTCCTAGAAACTGCTTTATTATGCTGCTGCTATCAGAGTGAGTCCAGAGTGCCTGGCCTGTCCACCCTCCCCAGGGCTCCCCATTCCATGGCCGCCTGCTGGGTCACTGAGTCAGGGCTCCCAGATGCCCCCACTCTTGTGTGCCCCAGCAGCCTGTTGCACCTGCTCCCCTCACAGCCTCCCACAGGGATGTGCCCCTGAACCCCATTTCCATCCAGCTCTAAACAATGGACAGAAAAATTATCATCATGGAGCAAGACTGAAAACTACTGAGTTGGATTCGAGCAGGTAATTTGTCTTTTCTCACCCTAGCTTCTGCTAAAAAAAGGACTTTCATTTGTTTTAAGGACAAGGTGGTAACAGGTGAAGCCAAAATGATACAAAGACTCAGAGTGCCCAGCGTGGTGGCCGCAGCACAGACGGCCTGGCTGTGTGGGCACAGAGAGTCAGAGATACCAGGACAGGGCCGACGAGGATCCGTTTCCTGGGGCACGATGGGGTGTTACTGCCTGGGCTCAGGATGTTGGCTGCTGTGTTCAGGCGCATGCAGAACTCCAACAGCCTCTCAGAGCCCAGGGCAGAGGCCATTCTGAGCAGAGCAGGCACAGACTCGCCCTGGACCAGAGCAAGGAAGCCACGGCTCCCAAGGGAGGTGTCCCACACTAGGCTGCATGTGGGTGGCTCAAGAGCAGAGGCCTCTACGGGGCCGGCCAGGAGCTCACCAGAAAACGGAGAAGACAGGGCGTGGCCAATGCCTGTGAGGAGGAGAGCACCCCCGGGGGGGCAGGCAGTCACAGGGGGGCTCCCTGCCACCCCGCAGACCAGGCCTGGCTCAAGGGAGGGTGCAAATACAGCTTCATGCTCCCCTTCTATTTACAACTGCCTCAGCGAAGGCTTTTCCTGCAAGAAGATAAACACTCTAGAAAGATGTGCAACTCCCCAGTGTCGGGGGTTTATAGCTGTCCAAAGCTCCCTACCCAGGTATCTGCTGCTGCTGGTCCTGGAGTCATGTGACAGCAGCCCTATCCTGGCTGGGGTTCCCTGCGGGGGCTGCTGGTGCCATGTCTGTCAGCCTGCTCGCTTCTGCGTTCTTGACGGCTGGCGTGCAAGCAGGCTTTCACATTCTGCTGGCTTCCCTTATGAATTCGTGAGCCATAGACAGCTTCACTCCATGCTGGTGAGTCCCCGGCAGGAAGTTACAAGTAGGGAAGGCCCCGTCCCTGGGAGGCTCCAGCCTGCTCGCCGTCTCCGTGCAGGGCAGCGGGGGCAAGGAGGATGAGGCCCCTCCAGGACTGGTAGGGGCCAGGCCCTGGTGGCTGAGCCCCTGCTACTTGCGCAGGGTCTGTGGTGGCCGTGATATCTCCTCGGCTGTCTGCGGTGCCCTCACTCTGCTTCCCTCATGGCCATGGCCACTCACCTTGTCAAAAGCACCAGATGACAGTGCTGGCCCGCCAGAGAGAGCAATGTTCTCTCAACGCTGGAGGAAAGGGTGTGGCCCCTGCCCCTACCGGGTCTCCCAAGAGATAGTGCTCACCCTGCCCCCGCCGCGTGCACAGAGCAGCTCTGGCCAAGGCGCCCTCGTGTGCACCCAGTGTGTACCCGCTCCCAGGGTGGCCAGACTGGCCTGGCGGGGTCTACACAGTAGACAAGTCGGCTCTGTGTTCTGCTCCGGCAAAGGCTGGGCAAACCGCAGCCCAAGGCCCATCCCTGAATGCACTAGCAGCGGCTCATTTCCAGCCTGGAAGCCTGTGTCCTGGAGACCTCTGTGCAGAGCCTCTCTGTCCCCCACCCACCCTGATGGCAGCAGATGCTCCCACCGGTCTGGCACCTCACTCTGCAATTTCAAGATGGTTTCCTGTGTTCTGGTCCCTCGGCTCTAGCAGCCAGCGACCTGCGAGTCCACAGAGGCTTTCAGTCTCAATCTCCAAAACAAGGCCACATGTTGGGGAGGCTCAGGGTCCAGACTCTGGGGAGCAGAGACCAGCAGGTAGGGGGGTTGCTAGGACCCAGAGGGCGGGAAGCAGTGCATCCACAGTCTCCATCCAGGGTATGATGTGGGTTGCAGTGATGGCCCCGTGGGGCGGTGGAGGGGGGAGCACAGTCTGGCGTGAGCTAAGCACTGGGTGTCTCCTCCGTCCCAGCTCTGAATGGCTTTATCTTCCCACCTGCTCATCCTGGAATCTGGATTCTTCCCTAATATAGTTCCAGGGTGGCCCCCTTGGAAATGAGTGCTACTTCTCACTGAGCAGCCCCAACACCCACGCACGCCTCACAGGGCGACTGGGAGGCCATGAACAAGAAGCACTAGACGTTGTGCCCCTGACCCATGACGCCCCAACACCAAGGAGCCCGTGCGCACCAGACCAGGCCACTCTCCTGACCCGCTCACTCCCTCTCTGGGCAGCAGGAGCCTCCCTCTGGGGACCAGCTTCCCCTTTCTGAGCTGTGTCTGGCTGGTGGGGGGGGGGGCAGTCTGGCCCACCTCGAGCTGGGCCAGGCTTGGGCCCCAAGCTTCCTCTGCTCTGGTCTCTCTCCTGCGCTCCTCAAAACCCTCCACGTTCGTATTTGGCTGGATGGGGCTGAGCCTGATGCAGCCTCACTTCCATCTTGCCTGCCCGTCTGCTCCCTGTCCCTCAGCCAGTCCCGGCCCTGCTCCCTGAAGGGCCATCCAGGAACTATGCTACCAACCACACCCTAGCGGGCTCTCCCCTCAGCATAGCCCACGACAAGAGACCCCTCCATGATCCATCCGTTAGGCAAACGCTTATGTTCTGGGCACCAAGGAAAACCATGAAAGGATGCTGCATGGGGGACAAGCAGCCCAGGGAGGGACACGGGTACTTACTTTTCTTAGCGGGGAAGGAGTATGGTCAACCTGCATGGACTCCACTCTGTTAAGTGAACAGTGGGATACATTTAGTGGGCCTGAGGCTCGTCAGCGACATGACCGCGCTGGCTAGGACACAAACCCAGGGCCAGGGTCACGGCCAAACCCTCTTGTGCGTCGGGCTCTTCACTGAGTGCCACAGTCTGTCAGCCACACGCACATGGGAGCACTTCTCCTCTGGGCCCTGTGCCTGCTCTGGAGCCCCTGCTCCACTGCCGTCCCACGCCCCCTTCAGTCCGGACATGGACACCCATGTCCGCGCCCCTCTAACTCAGGCCAAACCTCCTGCAACGCAAGCCGGGACGTCTCGTCTAGTTTTCTGAATGCTTCCTGCCTGACCAACACACTTCACACAGACGTGCTTGGTGTTAGCCCCCAACACCTCAGCCCCACATCTGACAGGCAATATCGTCTGAGCAGCCCCGTAGGAGAAAAACGGCAGAAGAAAGGACGAAGGAAGGGTGGGGGAGTGAACCGGGCGCCCAGAGTGCTTTCAGGTGCAGCGCCCAAACTCAAGCCTGACCGTCTCAGGGAAGAGCCACAGTGAGGGGTGTGGCTCCCTCTGCCGGGATGGGTCAGGGTCCCCAGGGGTGCCATCAGCACGGCTGCAGTCTCCTGTCCTATCTCTGTCTGTGTTGGATTCGTTTCCAAGCGCCTCCCCTTGCCTGGCCATCCTGGTCCCAGATCAGCGTCCCAGGGATGACACCCACCAGCCCAGCGTGGGTGCAGGACTGCCCCCAACCAATCACTACGGCTGTGGGGATGGAGATGTGAGGGGCCAGCATGGGCTGCACACCCGATTCTGGGCTGTGCCTGTGAGGTTCCGCAGGGCACAGAGGAGCCGGAGGGGGGCAAGCTCCTGAGTCCTGAGCTGAGTATCCCCTGAGCTGTCCAGCATCAGGGCACTTGCAGGGATGGGGGGTGGAGAACTGGGGGCATGCCAGAGGAAGGGCTGTGTGACTGGTCACGTCTGTGACTCTCAGGGACCCTCAGCTGTTCCCACCAGGCACACACCTGTCAGAGGCTGACGTGTCAGGGGGCAGGAGCAGGTGTCCGTCTGGCTTTGCTGAAGGAGCTGTTGGGGGGGGGGGGGGTCTGAGCGTCAGGCCGCGTTCCCCCAACCCCGCTGCATGCCTCTTCACGTCCCTCCCTGCTCAGGCCCCATGATACTTACTTGAAACTGGAGTTTTTACTGCGCTGAAAGCTGTTTGCTGTGACAATCTCATCCTAAACAGATGGAGAGAAGGTGTGAATTAAACCCTAAACATTTACTCCCACATAAATCATCTCAGTTTGAAGCAGAAGAGGACAAACTCGGCCAAATGCTCCCTGTCCGCCTGGCCCCCCGTCCCTTGCCAGCCGCACTTTCTACCCAGAGAAGGCCCTGAGGACACGCCTGTGGCTGGCTCAGACCTGCCAGTACCCAGTGCTGGGAGCGAGCAGGCACTGGACAAGGACCTGCCAAGTGACTCAGTGACCAGGGGCTGGGGGCAGGTAGATGTCAGCATCCGCGCTGTGGGGACCTCGCACCTGCGAGGGCACTGGCTCCTGCTTACAGACTTCATAACACACGTCTGTTCGGGGCCAGCCTCCCCAGGACACAGTGTTGTCACTGAGAGCCAACCCAGCAAGTCCCCCACAGTGATCGCCGCCCTGCATGACTTCTGTTCCTCATGCACGGACGGTGGTCTGGGGGAGGGCATCCTCCCTCCAGGATGCAGGCCAAGCCAAGGACATGCACGTGAGCCAGCAGAACGAGCCCACCCCACCCCAGCCAGGCCACAAGGGCCCTACCTGAAGCAGGAGCCCAAAGAGAACAGGCAGGATCCGGACTCGCAGGGGTCAGGGGTGTGGGAGACACACAGCCTGTCATGTGCCCAAACAGAAGATGGGGATGAAGATAAGACAACCCCACAGTGGGGAAAATGACCAGGAACCTTCTAGGAATGCAAAACTGAGCAGCTAAAATGAACGTGAGGCAGAAAAGGTGTGCAGCGCAGAGCTGAGCAGAGAAGCTGGGCTGGGGGCTGCGGAGACAGGAGCACCTGAGGCAGCCCGGGAGAGACTGTGGCAGTGGACGGGTTCCCCAGAAAGAAAGCTGCTTATACACCAAGGAGAACAACCCGAGTGACCCTGCGTGGGCACACTGCCCTCTCTGCCGCTCCCCGGACTTGGACAGAGCTCGCGGGGTCTCCGAGGCTGTGCTCACCCTCTTTCCCAAGCACTGAAGGTTGTGCCAGCCCGGGGTGACCTCCGCGGAGTATATGGAGCCCAGAACACACCCTCACCCTGGTGCTCAGCCCAGACAGGCCCTCCGCTGACCCTGTGACCACCAGCTGCCCGGTGCAACCCGGCAGCCAGCATCCACCAGTAGTACGTGGGTCACTGCTGCACACGTGACCAGCTGGGTGGACAGAAGCTCCCCAGAGCCACTTACTTTAACTGAACGAGTGACCCGCAAATTGGGACTTCTGAAGAATCCCCATGTTAACACACCCAACAGAACCCTAGTCCATCTAACAGAACAGAAGGAGCTGTGGCCCATGCAGGGGCTGTGTGGATGCTGCCCTAGGGGCACTGTGGGCTCCACACTGATGGGGACACGGGCTGCCCGTATTCACCGTCACAGGTGCCATGGTTCCTGGCAGATGGGAAGCCAGCGAGCTGTGGGCGGGGGTCCAACAGGGCCTGGCTGCAGAGCCCCTCTGCCCCAGGACACACCGGGAGCCCCCTAGGTGTTTTCTGTATGTTTTCATGGCTCCTTTCCCTTCCCACTGCAGCTCCACTCTGACAGAAGCTGCTAGCAAACGCAAGTGCTCTTTCTTCCCTCCTCGGTTACAAGGTCTTACTTGGTCTCAGACAGCGGAGTGGACAGCCATCAGCCGCCCTGGGTGCGCTGGTAGGGAGGACTCACCCCTGCAGCTGTTCCATCCGCAATGCTGACCTCCGAAGGGACTCCTCCAACTTTGTGATCTAAACACAATCAGACTCCAGTTATCGGGACATGCTGACCCTCTGGGTGTCATAAGCCACGAGTCAGAACGTGAAGGACACGGCACATGGGCCCTGCGTGCAGGCTGTTAGGGCCCCCGGGAACCAGCGCTAAGAAGGGGTCTGGGCAGCCGGGCAGGTGGCCCAGACCCAGCGCTGCTTTGAGCCCTCCATCTACACTCCAGACCTGTTTTCACCTGCTCTCCCTCTGTGTGGAGAAGGGTATTGTATTTATAGGGCAAACAGGCATCTCAAACGTCCTTTTGTCAACGTCCCCCAGTGCGACCTCCTAGCAGCACTGTGTGGACAGAGCCTGAGGCATTCTAGGGACATTCACGGGTTAGTGTTGGTGTTCCACAGGGAAACTGCCCCATGACCACAGCCAGGTCCCCCAAGCAGCCACGGGCCAACCACAGATGAGAACCTGTGCAGGGGCGTGGGCCAGCAGGACAGGGGCTGGCCCTGGGGCCCCCCACCTGGGTTCACGAGGCAGCAAGTCAGGGGAGTTACCTTTTCTCGATAGAAGGCCAAGAGTCTCTTTCTGTGCTTCTCTTGAAATTCTGAAATCTGAGCAGAGAACGCATGTCAGCTGCTGGCACTGGCACAGGGCCGCAACCACACACGCTGTCCCGGGAGCCGGCAGGGGCCTTCGGTGCAGGTACAAGCACACTCCATTCCCCCACGGCCCTGCCTGCCCCCTGGCCCCTGCCACCCTGTGCCCAGGGCAGAGCTTGGTGCAGCCATATGGTGCGTGTAGTGGTGCCTGTGCGCCGTGTGGCACTCAGGGTCTTGCCATGGCAGAGGACACAACCCAGTGGGCATAGCAACGGGATCATGGGATGGCCTCCTGACCAAACAGCACCCACGGGGACTCTCTGGACGAGGCTGGCCGGGGATGGCACAGCGTGAAGTGGAGCCCAGGGACCTTGTCCAGACCCCCAGGGCCTGCTGCACCTGGGACCAGTGCCACCTCTGCTCTTCCGCTTAGAGAAAGCCCTACTTCCACATCCACAGGGGCTCCCACGAACACTGAGTCAGAAACCATGATGTGTGATTGACTTGGGGCGGAAAGAGCCACCCCACATTAAGGAAAGTTCTTGTTATTTGTTGTATTTTTCGGTTGGAGGTGGGGAGCAAGAGGACCAGCAGGGTGAGGGGGGAGAGGGAGAAGCAGGATCCCTGCTGAGCAGGGAGCCCTATGTGGGTGGTCGATCTCAGGACTCTGGGATCACGACCTGAGGCAGAGCCTTCACTGACTGAACCCCCTAGGCACCCCTAAGGGAAGTTTCCAGACAATTACGCCTCCCCTCTGGGAGCACTACACCATGACTGCTGAAACCTGATGCTGCTGCCCCGGGTAGGGTTCCTGCGGGCCTGGGATGTGAGGTCAGCATCCTCTAGGGCCAATACCTCATCAGTGCACCCCAGGACTGTGCTTAGTGGGTGGACACGAAGGGACAGCTAGCGCTGTCCCCAGGCTTGCAGGGCTAGCACAGACTGTGGGAGAAACCACGGTGGGCAGGATGGCCAGCCCACAGCAGGTGTTCAGTGCCTCCTCTACCGGCCAGGCCACCTCCACAAGATGGAGCCACTGTCAAGAGTGACCAACACCGTCTTCCTGTTCTCATCTTCCCAGGGATTCCATGCCCTCGGGGTCTGGGGGACATGTTGCGTGGGGCTCCTGCTCCACAAGACAAGGACTGATGGACACAGACTCAGCCTGGAGTGTTACTCTGTGGCGGGGGTGCCACGAGGGGCCAGCAATGTCACCCCCATGGACATCTTCTTCTTCACGAGGCCATGTCCCAGAAATGTCCCCAGTGCTCGGCCACAGCTCTCAGGCCCTATGGCTCCCTGGAGGTGGCAAGGTGGTGTGGGGCAGAAAGGAAGGGCTGGCAGGTTCTGGACCAGAGGTGGGGACTGTACACGGTGTGTAGGAGCTCTGGCAGAAGACCACCCCCCCTGCCTGTTTGCTTGGTCTCACTCCTTGACTGGTTCTGTGCCCGCGGCAGGAAGAGGGTGTCGCACACCAATCCCTCAACCTCGTGTCCTGGTGTAGGGTCCACTCTGAGAAACAGAAAGCAGGAACATCTGGAAGTAACCACAGGACAGCCTACCTGGAGCGTCTGGGAGCAGGGCTGTGCCCACACCGGTCTGTAGGGCCTTGACCTCAGAAGCCCTTGGGTTCCACCGGGCCTGCAGGCAGGCTCGTGGCTATTCGTAAATGAGTACAGGCAGAGAACAAGCATGCCGGCCTCCATGGCTGGCACAGACAGACAAGGTAGAGAGGCCGCAAGAGAGACCATGGGCTAAGCTGAGCTGGGGAGAGCGGCCTGTGGACCAGATACCAAGCCCCTAGGGGCCTGGAGCAAGTCCAAGGGCAGCATGGATCCCCAGAGCCGTAGGCTGCCCACCTGTACCAGGCAGGGGCCAGCCTCTGGGACTCCGGTGTGTCCAGCTCCTCAGGCTGAGCTGCTGTGGCCTTGACCCAGGCAGAGAATGTGGACACCAGCAAAACAAAATGTAAAAGGGCCATGAACCTCCTCTGGTAGGAGTGCCCTCCTGGACGGAGGGGGCACCTGTCTTGTGAGATTTTTATGAAGTGCAGAGGCTAAGGAAGCCAAGAGCAGGAGCTGAGCATGTCCATGTCCTCTGTACTGGTCCCTGTGACAGGCTGGGGAGGCTGCAGGACTGCTCGAGACGCCTGCTACCCAGCGGGTCCATCCCCCTGGAGAGGGAGCCACATGTCCACACTCTGAGCAGCCGAAGCAGGCTAGCCCTGCCTCAGGGAAAGGAAGAGTTTCTGCTTCTTTGCAGCTGGATCAGGAAGGGCAACCTCCTGGCCGCTTCTGTGGACCCACCTGCCATGGGTCTACCGTCGTTGGGGCCCATGCCACGGCTTGAGGATGGCCTCATACTCTTAAAGTTACTGTTGATACGGCTTTGCCCTGTCAGTGCTAACCCCCACTAGAAATTAATGTCAAGAGGAATTTGACACATATCTGTTCCTTCAAGAATAGCAAGCCCAGTGTATTAATGTGCGTAATGATGCCACATTGTGTTGTGTGGCCTCTGCAAACTCCACTTCACACCCAGACAGGCGGCCACTTGGCCATGGGATGTGTGGCCCAGAGGAGTGAGGGAGGTCCCTTGGCAGTTGCCTCTGCAGCCTCCCCCGACCCAGCTCTGCACAGGCGAATGCTCTAGAGATGCCACGTCCTTGGCAAGACTCTTCCAAGCACAGGACTGCCCATGGTTCTGAGCACCATGAGCTGGAGGACCGCCCAAGCTCTGGAACACAGCCGGCTTCTGGGACATCTGTGTGTGGCTACAGGGCTACGTGTAGATGGGATGGCTGTGACACCGTGGGACTTCTGGCCGCGTCACAGCTGGAAAGCGGCCATGGGAAATAGGGGGTGGGGAGGTCTCACTGGCGCAGGTGGGTCCAAGCATGCAAGCTGCCCCAGGGAAGGTCCTGGCTGGAAGTGGCTCCTGGCTGGTGCCCCACTCAGCCTCCTGCCCCAGAAGGTAGGTAGGAGGCAGCCCACAGGGGCTTCATGTTAACAGAACAGGGAGAAGCAGGATGGCTGGGGCTGGAGGGCTCCCTTCTCTCCCAAGCAGCTCCCTGGACAGAATGGTGGCCCGCACATTGTCTAGTGATTGTGGGAGGCCAGGCTTCTGGGGTGGGACATGGGGTGAGCATGGGGTCACACTAGAGGGAGGAGGAGAGGCAAGGGAGACATGGGGGGCGAGGCAGGTGTGGACAGCGGAGCAGGACTGGGAGGAAGAAAGGCACCCTGGGAGCCAGGGGAAAGCATGTCTGCGTGGACCATGACCCTTGGAAAGGACCTGCAGCCTTGATCTGTGGCCCTTTCAAGCCCGAACTCTCAGGTCTGCCCCAGATCATGAGGCTCAAAGGACAGCGATGTCCCCGTACACAGCAAAGGCATAGCACAAACAACAGAACACAGCTGACCGACGGCTTTGTCGCACTGAAGGCAGAAAACCCCTGGAGGGGCTGCTCTCCAGAGCCTGTAACACCCATATCTTCCAAGGTCATCACAGCCCCGAATCTCTGCTGTGGCTGGGTCAGGCTGAGGACATGGCACCACATACAGAGCTCACCTGGCAGGTCTCTCTTGAGTACTTCTTACACAGGCCGTCTATGCCCATGAACAGCGCCTGGATGTCTGCGTCAGTCTGAAAGGGAAGGAAAGCCATAGAGAACCTGAGGACAAAACTGTACCTCTATATCCAGAACTAGCCACAGAAGACACAAACCATCTCCAGGGGGCCTGCAGAGGCGCCCATGTCCCAGCTGCCAGCAGCTGTTTGTCAGTCCAAGGGCTGAAAGGTGGTGCTATGGGGCCCTGGGACCCGCCTGGGGTGCAGAGTAGCCTCAGTCATATCATCTGTGACGTTAGACATACCCTTCCTTGGAAGGGTACCCCCAAAGCCAGGCTTTCACGGAGGAGGCACATGGAACTCAGAAGGAAAAAAGCAGAGGAATTCAGCTTTCAACCAATCACAAGTACTTGAAAGTTACTTAAAAACATAAGGGCTTAAGAAACAGTGTCTGCCTGCTGCTGGCCCCCAATGCGGACCTGCCTTCTGCCTGGATCACAATGGCATAAAGCCCGTCCTGCCACAGGAGTCTGGGAGGAATGGCTATCAACCACACGGAACAGTACGGACACACGCCAGACCGAAAAGGTGCGGAAGAGTCTTGCTCGACCTCCCTGTCTGGTCTTTGGTCTAGACTGTAAGCAAGTCATGAGTGTCAGGATGGCAGATGGCAGTTTGGGGGCCATCTGTGCCCCCAAACTCCACTAAAACAATAGTGGAACTAAATTAGGTCAGTGTTAGAAACTGGGGATTGTACCTTGAAGGGCCAGGGCCTTCTGGCGGGGAATGCGGAGGGGCCAGGAGCAGGTCTGGCTTTGGGAGATGAGGGTCTGGTGTGGCGTCGGGACAGCCAGGGGCCCCGCACAATACAGCCTGGGGGCCAGCCATGGGGGGGCATGGCCCACAGACAGGACCCAGGGCCTCTAGGTTCATGGGAGCCCTGCCCTGCGCTGGCTAGACCTGACAGCCCTGTACGTGGCCGGACCCTCTGAGCAAGGCCAGCAGGAAGGGTGCCTTCCCAAAGGGCCATGCGGAGTGCCCCCAAAACAGCATGGCCAAGCCTGGTGCTCAGGAAGTGGGGACCACGCCTGTCTAGAAAGACACACTGCACATACACAGACAACCCCGGACTAGACAAACAGCTCCATGGACCAGAAATGCAAACACCTGGGAATGCCATCACTGATCTGTTAGGACCCACTGCCTTCTGGGAGAGGAGTCAATCACTCTGCACGTAGCAGAGTCCCTGAATGGCACAGGAGGCTGTGGGGACAGAGGAACCAGTGGTTCTCCAGTCTCACAAAGGCCCCCACTGCCCAGGATGAGGGATCTCTGTGAAGCCAAGCAGGACAACTCTGCAGACACCCGTCATCACACACAGGATAGCTATGCTGTGAAAGGAGACAGACAAAGAAGGAATAGGATCAAAGCACCAAAAAAAACGTGAATGTCCATTAAAGAATTCTAAGATCAGTGAAAATATGCTTCAAAATGGAGGCAAAAAAGGAGGTCCTTTTCAGACAAACAAAAACCAGAGAATCTGTCACCAACAGAAGGCACTGCCTTCAGGTAGGAAATGGTTCCTTGGTGGGAGCAGGGGGTTCAGAAGCCAGTAAGGAGCACGAGAGAAGGGGAATGTGGGGTAACCCCAGACCAGAATGGTGACCACACACTAGCCGCCCTGCTGGGCTCCATGCAGACACAATGAAAACATGCACCAACACTGTAGAAGATACAAAACAGTGGGCCAGGGGCAGAAGTGTCTGACACCCTTGCGTGAGCAGGAAGATATACTGCACCTTAGACTTCAGAACGTCAAGGCCACGGCGCGATCTCTGGAGTCACAGAAATGAACCCTGTCTCGGTCCGAGTGGCGGATATGTTCAGGTCACAAACAATTCCTGGAGCCACTTGTATCTGTGTGCTTTTCTGTATTAGACTTCAATAAAAGTCAATGAAAAATAACTAAAAATCCCCGAATATTTCTATGTCAATATACTTTCAGAAAACACACAGATCATGAAAATAACCAAGCAGAAATTTCAAATTATTTCAAAGTGAAAGACAATAAAAATATAAAATAGCCAACACATACAACGCAGGCAAGGGGAAACAGAGGGGCACCCTAACCGTGTAGCATAAATGCCAGAAGGGAAGTGGACAGAAGCACCCATCTTATAGAACAGACTAAATCCAAAGGAGAAAAAAAGGAAATTAATAAGAATGCAGCTAAGAACAAATGTAAAGTGCAGATAAACACTAGTTCTCTGAGAACACTGACAAAAAGTCAATAAAACCAGGTAAGACTTTTGAAGAATAAGAGAGGACACAACAACTATTATCACAACGACAAAGGAGCATCACCACAGATCTCACAGACACTGAAAATACAGGTGACCGCAGACACACTGATGATGAGAAACTTGAAAATTCACATGAAGCGCACACACCCCTAGAGAAAGCCACTCACTTAAGCTGACCCAAGAATTAGAAACTCTGAAGAATCCCATATCTAATTAAAAAAATTAAAACTCTAGTTAAAAACCTCCCCACAAAAAGCCTTCTAGGATCAGAGAGTGTCAGGTATGAATTCTGGCATACATGCTCTGAATGACTCCAGTCTTAAAAAAATTTTTTTTGCCAGAGAAAAGAAAAATGAAAGAATTTCTAACTCCTTTTATTAAGTCAGCAAAACCCTGATTCACCAAAACATGAAAAGGGCTTGAAAGAAAGGAGACTTACAGGGCACTTCTCACACAAATGGAGGTGCACAGCCCCCAGTTCCCTCTGCGTATACTGCTTCACAACCAAGTTACAGGTTTAAAATTCTACTGTGGGTGCAGGGGCACATGTCCAAGTTCTGGTTTTGTTCAGGTCATGAGCTTGAGCTCCACATCAGGCCCCAAGCTCTACATGGAGTCTGCTTGAGACTTTCTCTCTCTTCCTCTGTCCCTCCCTCTACTCAGATGTGCACACACGCTCTCTCTGTCTCTATAAAGTGATAAATAAAATCTTTTAAAATGTGGGTTTAAAATTCTAAAAATAAATGCAATTTACATCACAAAATAAAATAGAAAAATCAAATGATAACCTTGACATTTATAGAAAAACCACTTGGTAGAATCCAACACTGCTCATGATAAAAAAACTCAGCAATAAACCCAGGTGCACATGACGACTTGAACTGCTAGAAGCTCAATTCTGAAATGAGGAAGAGACAAAGGACACCTGCTTTCACTACTGTGTCTCCTCATAGCCTGTGCGATGAGGAATAGAAGGCAGAGAGAAAGAAAGGGAGGAATGACATGGAGATTAAACGTTTAGAGATGTCACGGTTGTGCATAGAGAGAGTCCAGAAAAAGCTTGATGTCAGCCAACAGCAGTAACTACATTTAGCATGGTCACCAGATAAAAGCTATTAAACAAGATCAACTGGTATGTATACACCAGCAATAAAGAGACAACATTTTAAGAAATGAGTACAGCAGCAACCCAACTCATCATACCTGAGGGCAAAGCTAACAGTGAGGCACTCAGCCTCCGTGCAGAAAACCATCACTGAGATGAGAGCATATCGAAGAAAATGGACGTGTGCCAGCCTTGTGGACTAGGGAGTCCACATTGTAGAGACGTCAATTTTATTGACATTACTGATGATGGGCAAACCCAACAGACCTTGTGTGCATGGAAACTGACAAAAGAAATTGATTCCCAAAGTTACATGGCATGCAAAGACTAACTTAGGCTAATTGTACTACAGACAGCTCCCAACCTCAGTGGCTTAAGGGGGACAATTCCCACCTGCACATTAGCAGAAGGCTGGGCTTGATAAATGGCCTTCCACTTGGGGCCCAGCAGCTCTGCCTTGTTGGGTCACCAGCATCCACTTGGCTGAGCTGGGGGGCTTTCTGGGACATTTTCTTGTGGGCCAGGCCTGGAGTGGCATTGCTCATAGGAAGCAGGTGGGGAGACAGAGTCTAGCTGGGGGCTCAGAAAGAAGGGCAGCAGGGCCAAGGACAGCTCCCAGCCAGGCCAGTCTGCTGTTCTAATTTCTCTCTTCCCTTACACAGAAAAGTCACCATCCCCCAAAAACCCCATCTCTCAGTTCATAACAAACCCAGGTCCTCGCTGGCAAGTGGTCCTGTCCTCTAGGTTCTGATCTGGGCTGCAGCCTAGGGAGTAGGCCCATCCCCACCGTAAGCAATCTTGGGCCTGGGGCCTAGGGCAGGACAACAGAATCTACCCCTCAAAGGTCGGTGGAAGACAAGGAACATAGCAGTCATGGAGATCCTGTGGGTGGGTGTCCTGGGCCTCCTGCCCTGGGGCCATCTTCATCTTCATCAGACAGGCCTCTGCTGCCTAGGGGAACCTCTAGTCTAGCCAGCTCCAGTCCCCAGTTCTGCCCACTGGGGGTTCTTCCTCGTCCCCTGGTTCCCCAGGTTTGTAAGTGAAGCGGGCATGAGGATGAATGCCTTGAGCACTCGTGGCTTCCAGATCCCAGACACCACTGGCTTCTCCAGGGCCCAGGCCTCCCTGCGGCACCGCCCCTCCTGCCCGGACATCACTGGCTTCTCTGGGGCCCAGGCCTCCCTGCAGCAGCCATCCCTCTCCACCTCTGCTGGAGAACCAGTGAACTGCAGTCTAATGGCAACCCCCTTCTTGTCCACACATCCTTCTGCTCTGCACTCTGCTTTCCCCAGAGGCTCCATCCCACACACCTGCCTGCCTCCCAGATTCCCACAGGCCCAGCTTCCGTCTGCACTGTTCCCTCGCCACGTGCCAGCTGACAGAGAAGGTGGTGTACTATTCTGTGTGTGTGACAGTGATGGTCCTTTTCCATGACAAACTAGCAAATACGCATGGTGCCCCGTGTGTGGAGCAGAAGAAGCAGGCCCCGGGAAATCAGCTTCGCCTGTTACAGCGTGTTTGGTTCTAACAACAAAAAACCCAGTCAGAGCAGGAGCCATCAGGGCATGGCATTCAGCAAGGATGTGTTGTTTGGTGGAACTTATTTCCCTTATGCGTACACACACTGTGCCATGATATCAGGTGTCCTTCCTGCTACAGGTCAAGGAAGTCATGGTCACACAGAGCCGTATGCAGGGACCTAAAGGCAGTGGAGAAGGGAGAAGGTGGAACAGCCCGGCCCCAGGAGCAGTGGCAGGTTAGTCACGGGCCAGGGGACCAGGTGTCCACCACAAGCCAGGCCACAGAGCCACGGGCATGAGGAGACAAGGGTTTTACTCCTGGGAAGTTGGGGCACATGACCCGTGCTTGCAGATCCCTCTGGCTCCAGGAAGCAGGAGGGAAAGCAGGAAGAATGGCTCTTAGGTGTCATGGCAGAAGGTGCTCACGTGGCTCGTGGAAAACAGAGGAGAGGCGTCCTGGAGAGACTGCTGGAAGTGCCCATAGAAAGCAGATGTGCGGAGTAGTGTCAGGACCGTGAATGACTTCCCTCTCTCACACACACAGAGAACAAAGAAGATATACTTTTTCAAGTATGTGTAGAACATTAACAATTGCCATGTAGTAAGCCACAATGAAAATCCTGACAACGAAGAAAACTAACTATATGGCCATGTTCTCTGGTCATAAAGACATAAAATTAAAAATTTTCCACAAAAATGATAGAGGAGATAAAATCTAACCTCTTAGAAATTAAGGAACATTCTCCTGAATAATTTTTTTAAAGATTTTTATTCATTTGAGAGGGAGAGAGAGAGCACAAGCAGGGGGAGTGGCAGACTGAGAAGCAGGCTCCCCACTGAGCAGGGAGCCGGACACGGGGCTCGATCCCAGGACCCCAGGATCATCACCCTAGATGCTCAACCATCTGAGCCATTTAGGCACCCCTCTCCTGAATAATTCTCGAGTCAAAAAAGAAGTTAAAAGAGAGATTAAAGACTATCTAGAGGGGTGCCTGGGTGGCTCAGTGGGTTAATGCTGTGCCTTCAGCTCAGGTCGGGATCTCAGGGTCCTGGGATCAATCCCGACATTGGGCTCTCTGCTCAGCAGGGAGCCTGCTTCCCCGTCTCTCTCTGCCTGCCTCTCTGCCTACTTGTGATCTCTCTCTCTGTGTCAAATAAATAAAATCTTAAAAAAAAAAGACTATCTAGAAATGATAAAAGCGATGCACAAGGTGATGTACAACAGAAGGAAACAGATTGCCCTGAACACACTTACTAGAAAAGAAAAGAAATAAATGAACAGAGCGTCGGGCCCAGGAGGGCAGGGGAATGCCAGGGCGCCCCTCCTTCAGAGTCAAGCCTGACCAGCAGTGCTCTGTGGCCGAGGGTTTAAATGGTACGTTTCTTAAGGGAAATAAGGTGCTTTCTATTAAGTTTAAACACTTAAATCTGTGCCCTTATTTTTCCACTCCTAGGAATTTATGCTACAGAAATATGGTAAAAAAAATGTTCACAGTAAGACTGAAACAGAGAAAAACTACCTCCTCCCCTGGAAAACAGCAAAATACTGTGCAGTCTTTCCAAAGTGCGGGTGTGCCAAAAATACCAAGTCAACTGAGAAAACACCATTTTGTAGAAAGAAGTCACAGTAACACACAGTGCAGGAACTATACTCCTGCTTGTGGACATCTGTGGGAGACAGGATTTTTCTCCATTATGATTTTCTGTATCTTTTAAGTCTTGTGTGACTTTGTATTGTATTTGTAATCAGCAAAAAATGATTGTTACAGATGAAAACATCAGATCAAATAAGTATCTTAGAACCTAAGTATAAAGAGAATAATTATTTGTAACTAAGTTTACAGCAAACAGGTGAAATGTAAGTATTTCATAGAGAGAACAGGCAGACTTTGTTTTAAGCCTACTGCAACAGTAAGCACCCCTAAACTTACTTTCCTCCAACCCTCTTAATCAGCTATGATCTCCAGGGAAACTCGATCACCTTCTTAAAGAGCTTGTCTTGTGCTGAAGAAACCTATTCAACTCATCTTTACTTCCCAGAACACAGCACACAAACTCACAGAGGAAAAAAATCTATGGTTAAGAAAGTTGTGTGAGGTATTCAAAACCAAATCCTAATTGCACTTTACTCAGAAATCTTGTAAGATCTTCTAATTAATCTAGCAAAATGAGAGAAAATTTTAGACCCCACCAAATGACTGAAAACTGAATCTCAAATTTAAAAAAACACCGATTAATATTTAGATAATACATATTTCAACTTACATGTTTTGAAAGGAAAACTGTGCGACAAGGGACTTTGCAAATCAAGCACTCGTTTTTGCCACCTAAAAGAAACACAAACTTTAGTATATTATAGTGAGTAGTGCTTCTGAATATAAGTGCACACTTCAAATTACACTATTTCTTAAAAAATATACAGGATTAGAATACTTACATTTTCCACGCTCAGACAATGAAAAGACTGCATGTTGACAGAGTTGAAAAGATTTATTCAGTAATCCATTTTTCCTATTCTGCCAATATGCCCCAAAATAGTAATTATGAAGATCAACAATATTCAAACTTAACTCCATCTCAGATTTTCTTACAGTGAGACTCTGTAGTGATACCTTAATTTAAAATGTTTAATTATTCAAAATGAAAATAGCTCCTTGCATGCCATCCAAGAGATAAGTAAAAGCTCTGTTCAGCCACCCCCCACCCCCGCCCGCCCCCTCCAGCCTCACCTCGACAGCACCTGAGTCAGTTCCCAGGAGTGCACTCTGGGGTATCTGTTGGGCTGCTGGGCCCATAAGGCGGCGCCTGGCCTGAAAGCACAGGCTAACTCCCCACCTGCTCTTCTCCAGGGTCTCTGACCCAGACCCACCTACTGCACCACCTTCATCTCCACGACGCTCCTGTCATCCCCTGGAGAAACTGCTCCTCCGTGTGGCTGGCTGCTAAGGGTAGCCCTGCATTGCCTCACCTGCCCCCATGCGGCACGAGAGCACCCAGTGTCATTGGAAAACTTCAGTGGGGGCAGTAGGGCCCCTCATCCTGGGCTTTGCCCCATCCCCACACATCTGAGCTTCCCATTCTCACAAGCCAGCTTGGACCCCAGAGCCGGCCAGTCAATACTGAATCCTTGTCCTTCCAAGCAGCCACCCAGCCTGAACCCCGGCCTCTCTGTCTCCCCCTCTTCTGGTCCAGTACAGCTAAGAACCAGGGGGAAAAGGTCACTTAACTGGGAAGTGGATTCACAGACTTGATTCCAGCACTGCCGAACCTGCGACATTGCTGAGCAACCCTCCATTTTTCTTGGGTGTTCTCCTGCCAGTTCCCTATGGCGGGTATTCAAACAGGCCCCCGTTTGCTCTTTACTGAGCAAAGAGTCATGAACTTCCTCAATCTCCCTGCCTCTCCTCCACTCACCACAGAACAACTCAACTCCCTCTGCTCTCTTCCTCTGTCTCATCTCATCTCATCCCTACAGCATGTGCAATGGGGTCCTTGTGTAGAAAGACCTGTTCCCTCCCAACAGCCTCTGGAGTTGTCCCCTTGTCTCCAGTCCTACAAACACATTCAAGTGGCCCTCTTCTGAAAGCACCCACCCTCAGCAGTGTGTTCCCGCCATCTGCGTCTCTCTGGGGATTACGGAGCCAGGAGATCCCTTGGAGCACTGCTACTGCCAGAAGCCACGGAGTCAGAGATGAACAGAGCTGGCTCCTAAAAATCCACGGGTTGCGTTGAGGGGGGAAAGTAAGAGACTTGACAAAGAGAGGATCCGTCTGCAGCTGATGGGCAGGCAAACTGACACAAACAGTGCTTACAAACCTATCAAACATAAGCACTCCAGTAAAAGGTGTGAAGGGGCCCAAATGAGTGGTTGGCAAAAGCGCAGACTGCTGCTAATGTATGAGACAAAAATGCCAGTCATCCATGCTGGGGACAGGGAGCAGCCAGCTTTCTGGGGTGCCTGGTCCTAAGTGCTGGTTCTATCACAAATGCCCCACAGCAGCACCTCCGCCCTTCTGGATATCCCAAAGGAAAACAATACACAAGTGAATGAGTGGTGTTTCACAGCAAAATACTAGAAAACATGCAGAGCTCTTAGGAGTGGATCCGTTAAAGACATCATGGTATGGCAACTAAATGCAGCCTTAAAACTGATGACACAGACTTACTTTAACGTGAAAGGAGGTCCATGGCCTATTAAACTCAGGTAACTAACCGGTATATACACAGTCCCATTTTTGTTGTAGAGATCTTTATCTGTACGAGAAAATCTGCAAGAATGTATACCAAAGTGTAGGGAGGGCTTATCCCTGAGTAACGATCATTAAACACCTAACGAGCTGTGGTCAGTGCTCCACCCAGAGCCCTCAAGCCCTTCTATTGCTTTTTGTGTGTCCCAGCATCAGTGGCTTTTTGGAGGAACGAACTTGGGCTACTGGAACGTGCTTCAAGAGCCAAAGGTGCGTGGGAATCGCCTGCCCAAGGTCCAGAACCAGTCTGCAAAACCGTGAACACAGGTCTGTCTGCATTGTTCTCACCCAAGCTAACCCATGCCACTAACTCCTGTGGGAGGTTCCAATTCTGACTCTGCCCTGGGATGCCAAGTCCACAAACTCTGCTTTCTTTTCCCCACAGCCTCCTCCTACCTTGGCCTATCTTAAGGAATGCTCTTCCCAGGTGAAGCCATGCCCTAACCTTCGCCCTCTCCTCACCCAGGACCTTCAATTATTATCTATATGCCAATTCCCCAACCTATTCCTGTCTTGACTCCCAGACCTGTATACTCAGCTGCCTCCCCAGTGTCTCCCCTTGAATGCTCTCAAAGAACCTCAGTGTCCAGTGTGGGCCCCAGAGCATCATCCCTGGACACAGAAGGAGCTCCTACAGCACAGAGATCCTCCTACTGAGTGTTCAGATCAGTCAGGTGAGCTACACTGATGGACATCAGGACAGTGGTGACCTCTGAGGAGGCTACTGCTGTATTCTGGGAGCTGGTTTCACAGGTAAATTCACTCCGGGAAAACTCATTGTGCTTTGCATTCACGCACTTTTTCTTTTTTATACTTCAAAGAGAACATCTCATAAAAAGAAAAATACACCCGTGATCAGGTCTCCTGCTTCAAACAATGGTCCCCTCCTGGCCAGGGCCCCCTGCAGGCATGCTTTGGCCTACCTGGCTCCCAGCTCTCCTACAGCCCCCCGAGGTCCACGGACCTGTCCACACTTCCTTTTCCCTAGGGACCCTGCCACCCCGCTGCACCCTTGCGTGAGGCCAGGTGAGGACGCGCCCCCTGGGCCCTGCCCTGGTCCTTCCGAGCATCCTCGTCCCAGGGTCTAAGTTCACGCTGCCTTCCAAAAGTTCAGCGCGTGCCACATCCCTGGCGCTAAGATGACCAAGGCATTCTGCCAGCCCCGCGGCCCCTCGCCAGCTATGGCTCCGTCCCTGCGCCCGAGGTGGGTGGACGCAGGCCCCGCCGGGCGCCCCTGCCCAGCCCAGCCAGCCCTCACCTTCACCCAGGCAGACGTCGCAGTACACGTGGCCGCAGTTGGTCAGGCTGAAGCACGACGTGCGGTGCGGCGGCTGGAAGCAGCGATTACAGAACACCCAGCTGGCCATGCCGGACGCGGCGTCCACCAGCCGCAGCAGCCCAGGCCCAGACGCAGCGCACGCGCAGCCCGGAAGCAGCCTCTGGAGCTTCTGCACCTGCGCAGACTGGAGCTGGTCAGCCGCGCCTGCGCACCGGAGAGCACCGCCACTCCCGCCAAAACCTGAGTTGGAAGGTACCAACCGGATGGGGCGGGGTGTGTGTGTGCTGTGAATAAGATTCTTCTCCCCTCAGGCTGTTCAGGCTGTTCAGGCTGCTTGTGCCGAGGAGCGACACGCACACCAGAGCCGGGTCTCCCTCATTCCATCATTGCAACCCTTGGGGACTCGTCTGTGGGCAGCGTGTCGTCGTCCAGGCTGACTTGGGCACGCCGGGAAGGCACAGACGCAGAGCTGGGTGGCGCACTCTCTGCCTCCGGAAGCCGCGGTGAGCTGCGCAGGGGTCAGACGAAGTGGAGGGCTTGGGGGCACGGACGTGACCGCTGGGGGACAGTGTGGGCCCTAGGCACCCTCCGTAATGGAGATGGGGAGCAGGGCCTGGACACTGGGCTGACCCGAGAAGCCAGGGGTCCTGGGTAGACTGAGGTGAGGGAGCCAGGAGGACAGAGCAGACCCAGCGGGGTAGGCGGGTGGACTGGACTGGGCAGGACGGTTTGCCATTTGCAGCATTTGGTAGAGGCGGGCTGGGTCAGGGCCGCAGCCACTATAGCTCTGCCACATGAGAAGGGCTGAACTCGGGGTAGGGGTGGGGTTCTGTGTCCGGGACACTGGCCGGGTGGAGATAGAGGACCTGCCACGTGTGAAGGGCTGGACCCGGGGTGGGGTTGGGGGCTCCCTGTCTGAGGCACTGGCCGGGTGGAGGTTGGGGACCTGGCACGTTTATGAAAGGCTGGACCCTGGGTGTGGGGGGGGGGGGGCGTTCCCTGTTGGAGACATTGGCCAGGTGGTGTTGAGGAAAGGGACTCCTGGTGCTGCTCTTGCCACCTCCAGTGAGCTTATTCTTATTGCAGAGTGGACGGCTAGAGAAAGCAGATGGCCGTGACGTTTCACAGTGGCACTCCATGGATGGTGCCCTCTGTGGCTTGGGGAGCAGAATTTCCATCCACATGCAGGTGGCCCACTGGGGCCAAGTGAGAAAAGGTGGTTCAGAGAAACCCAGGCTGTTTTCTTGTGTGGGCAAGGGCGCCCTTGTGCAGGGAAGTAGAGAAAGCAGAGGTTCAGAATGGCTTTTCGGGAGGGGAATGCAGTGGTGGGAAAGGGTGTACTCCAATTGTCCACCGTCTAGCTGTGAATGTTGCATGACCACTGGGTCCCTGAAATGTGACTGGGCCAAACTAACCTGTGCTTTGAGGGTAGCACACGCTTGTTCATATCAAAAAAAGCACCGTGAACTATCTCAATAATCTTGTACTGTTTACTACTAAAATCGTAACATTTTTGGTGTTTTGGGTTATATATATATATCACTAGGGTTAATTTTACCCTTCTGAAAGAAGGTTTTTTTTTTTTAATGTGGCAAGCAGAAAATTTAAAACTTATATATGTAGCTTACATTTTATTTGTATGGGACAGTGCTGATCTATATACAGAGTTAAAATAACCAGATGATGAGCTTATTCTATCAAGCTCAAAGGCCACATAGTTAAAGTAATATTTTGTCAGTGTAATATTAATTTCAATCTCTGATCATCTTTGATATCATAAAATTACATGGTTACGATGTATTTTGATTGATTAACTCAAATATTATGCAGATTAGCAGGTAGTTGCCTTTATTAACATTTTAAACGAGTTTCTTAGCTATAAAGAAGTCTTTAAGGTATTTCATTTGGAAAATTCCAATTGAGATAAAGATTAATGTTTGTGCAAAAGCCCACCATAAAACATTGCCATTTGTATCTTCACTGATCATTCGAAAATTTTCTTCACGGTCCTATGCAGAAGAGAAATAGGCAGGTTTAGTTTCTTAAAGTATTTAACTATGAATTTGAGGGAAACGTGCTGTATGCTTTGAAGATATTTAGTATTTCCCAGTTTATATATCAAAGTGCAGTATATGATTTTCTAAGTTGGTGTATGTTGGTAGCTAAAGAAAAGGATTAAGAATCAACCTTAAATAAAATATGTATTTGTATTTTGATGTAAACTATCTGCTGTTTGATCTATTATCTCGTATATTTTATTTGTCACCATTGAGCAAGTGAATGTTAGCCAATAGTGATAGATTTTCAAAATTGCTATCCTTAGCTTTACTTCAGGCTGGGCACTTTGCCAAGCACACCCGTCCTCCTCTTATTTTCCAGGTAAGGGAACTGGAGTCTGGATTTGATCCCATCTCTGACCAGAGTCCACTGAGCACAGGGACCTGGGAGACACACAGTGTCACAAGAATAAAACTGTGATCTAGAAAATGGGCATTCTGAGCCTCTTCATACATGTTGGGTGTGTTTGGGAACATTTATTTATTCATTCTGTGAAGCCCACACCCCAAAGGCAAATGAGCTGCAGTCCCCTTTCCTAGAGGAGCTCGCAGTCTGGCAGAGAGTGAAAAGACAATGAAAGATTGTTCCTTTCCTTTACCCCAAGTGTCCCTACAGTGCTGGCTCAGAGAGAAAGACCAAGGAACAGGAGTTTATTTTTTCCATGGCTTGGGGGCTTTGTCTCCAGAATTGCGTTCCTGGCAGGAAGAGATAAAATAAGCTGAAATAGATAATAGATAAAACAGGCAAACTGACCCTTTGATAGTTTTGTTCTTTGACTATTTGCTCAATTTGCTCAATTAGGTGTTCCAACTTAAAGCTAACTTCATTAACTTTGTCCTTTGCTTGAGCAATGGCTGCATCAAGGTCATGTTGTCCAACTCGAATCTCTAAGTGGATCCGCTGTACAAAGAGTAAAAAGGAAGAAGCATTCTTAAAACAGCTCTACTCTGTGTTTCCCTTGTTGTGTCCCCCGACTCCTGCCTCTCCCCACACCCCCTCTTCGAGAGGAGGCCCTGCTTCATTCTCCATCTCTCACTGCCTGTCTCCCCTGGCCATACTCAGTAGTCTTCCTCTGTAATACTCATTAATACTCTCATGACCCTGAGCATCAAATTTACTATGAGGTAAATTCTTTAAGCGCTGAAATATTTGATTAAGGAAAATTTTCTTTTCATAGGACTTGAATTTCTGATCCTAAAATACAGATTCTGTTCCTCTGCTCTCAGCTCATTTAGAAAATAACCAAACACCACCTGCCATATAAGAGTTTTATTTATTGGAATTCCATTGTTAATTTACCCTCCAGCCTTTGCTTGTTTTCAGGCCTGAGTAATCACAGTTCTTTCAACCTTCCCTCACGGTTCTTGTTTTTCAAGGCCTTTAATCAATGCTGTGGCTCTCCTTTGAACCCCTTCCAAGCTCTCCAGCTCCCTCTTTGGTTGCTGCACTGAGATCTGGGTACAGGACTTTAATAAGTTTCTAGCCAGTCTGGGTATAATGGTTCTGCATACCAACGTCATGCCTGAATAGTGCTGGTGCTGTGTTCATCAACTAGGACATGGGAGGCATACACTCACCAGCTTACTCCCACCAAATGACACAAGTCTCGTAGAATTAGATTCCAAGCAAATGATGTGTTCGCCAGGTGAATGTGAAGTAAAGTAGAACCTTCCTTGTGGGCCATATAACTTGGACAATAATACCTAGGATTGAAGATTTCCATAGTTTATTATTTTCTACTTTCCCTTCTTAAAAACAGATCTCTCCTGTTGGTTTAGTAAAAACTGTGTAGTTCCTAAAGAAGAAATGGTCAATAAAATGAAAAATATTTATTCTTGTTTGTAAAAACCACACACACACACACACACACATACACACACACACACAGTAAGACATCCCTTATTTACTATCGGATTGGCAAAGATTTAAATTAAAGTGTCCACGGATAGTATTGAGAAATACTATCTCTAAACAATGATTTGGGTATATAAGTTGAATAATCATTTGGAAAGCAGTTCAGTGATATGTATTAAAAATTAAAATGTATGTAACTGTAGACTCAGTGGTTCTACTTACAGGAATTTATTCTATGGAAGTGCACAAGTAGACAAAATTATATGTAAAGTGATACTCAGTGTGGTATTTTTTGTAATGGTAAAGTTGTCTTCTTGAAATTATTTTAGTACCTTTCAGTAAGGGATTGATTAAATTCAGGCAAATCCAAATAAAGGAATGTTATGGGACAAAAAAAAAGAGAGAATATTAACCCATAACCGTTCTGTACTAAAGATGTCCATGATATCCAGTGCTAAAGCAGTGCATATGGGATCCTATTTTTTATTAAAATATCATTTGTAAAAGTATGTGTGTGTGTGTTTCTATAAGCGTAGAAGAAGATTCTGAAGAATACACACCAAGCTTTTAGTTGGTTATATTTGTTGGGCAACTTTGATTTTATGTTTAGCTAATTAACGTATTGTTTGCCATTTTAAAAACAGGTATAGGACTTCTGTCATCAAGGTGTTTGGAAGTTGCCATTCTGTCCCAATAAGTACAAAGAGGAACACAATGAAAACCAATTCTTTCTAGATCTGTCTGAGAAAAACACCTTAGCTATAGAGGGACAGAGGTAAAAATTATACCTGAATTCCCTTCAGAAACCATGCAGGCAAGAAGAATGTAGAGAATAAACCCACCAACCTAGAATTCTGTATCCTGCAAAACTCTCCTTCAAAAGTGGAGGAGAAATAAAAATTTTCTCAAAGAAAAACGGAGGGAATTTGTCCCTGATAGACCTACCTTGCAAGAACTGTTACGTTCTTCAGGGATAAGGAAAATGATACAGATCAGAAAGCCAGATCCACGTAGAGAAAGGAAGAGCATCAGAGAAGGAATAAGTGAAGGTAAAGGAAAATTCTTCTTAATTGATGTAATAGATAATTGTTTGTTCACAGAATAACAATGTATTTGGTTGTAGTGGGTGTGCAATGGACACAGGTGACAGCATGACAAGGGACAGGAGGGAGGAATTCTGAATGCTTTGCTACTCGAAGTGCTTGCACTCCCTGTGAAGAGGTGTGGCGCTACTTGAAAATGGACTTGTGTTAGTTGCAAATATGCACTGCAAACTCTAGGGCAACCATTTCTTAAAAAGTTAAAGTATAATTGATAGAAAGGAGATAAAATGCACATAAAACATGCCAATTAGAATCACAAAAGATAGAAAAAGTGGAAGACAAAAATAGGAACAAAGAACAAGGGCAGTGAATAGGAAATGAGAACAAACATGGTGGGTATTCATCCAGTGCTTTCGATAATCACTTTGAATGTCTTCGGCCATACCACCCTGAACATGCCCTATTTTGTCTGATATCGGAAGCTAAACAGGGTCGGGCCTGGTTAGTACTTGGATGGGAGATCAGTTATCAACTTTTGAATGTCAGTGGTCTATATGTACCAAGTAAAAGAGATCATCAGAGTGGATCAAAAACCAAAACCATATGTTGTCTACAAGAAACCCACTTTAAATATAAAGACACATGTAGATTAAAAATTAAAGGATGGACAAAGATGTATATGTTACCGTTAACCTTACAAAAAAAGCCAGAGTGCTCATATTAACTTCAGACACAGTAGACTTTGGATCAAGGAAGATTATGGGGATAATTATATAATGGAGCATTACATAAAGACAATGAGGTCAATTATCCAAGAAGACAAAACAATCCTGAATGAGTGAGCACCGAGCGACACAGCACAAAACTCTGTACAACGAAAAAGGACAGGAATGCAGGAGGGGGAGAGTCTGCCTTGGAAGCTGGAGATGCCGACAGCCCCGTGCCCGGAGTGGGCAGATCCAGCAGCAGGTTGGGAAGGACATTTCGGACTCAGCAGCGCTGTCAGTCACCTGCACATGACGTCTGAGGGCAGTCTGCCTCATGCAATGACGGCAGAGTACACACATTTCTTCAGCTCACCTGGAGCGCTGACCAAACCACACCAGTTCTGGCCCCAAAACACTCCTCAGCACATTTAAAATAGTAGAAACTATCAACTGTACTTCAATAAAGAATAATGGTAACAGGAACCACACAAAGTCTGCTCTTAGAACACGATGGAGTTAAAGTAGAAATCAATACAACAACAAAGATAGCTTGTCAATAACAAAGATTCCAAAATATGTAGAGATGAAGCACATTTCTTTTTTTTTTTTAAGATTTTATTTATTTATTTGACAGACAGAGATCACAAGCAGGGAGAGGCAGGCGGTCGGGGGGGGAAGCAGTCTCCCCACTGAGCAGAGAGCCTGATGTGGGGCTCGATCCCAGGACACTGAGATCATTACCCGAGCCGAAGGCAGAGGCTTAACCCACTGAGCCACCCAGGAGCCCGATGAAGCACATTTCTAAAGAACACGTGTTGAGGAAGAAATCCTAAGAGAAATTTAAGAACATTTTGAACTAGGAGAGAATCCTGGGAAGATGGTGAGGTACGCAGCACCAGGAGCCTGTCTTCCCATCTAGACCACGATCATACTGTTAGAATCCATCTGATGTAACTGTTCCAGAACTGTGGAGTCTAGTGAAGGCTTGCAACTTCCAGGGGAAGCCCCGTGTGGGAAACTGTGGTTAATTTTGGTCAGTGTCAGCTCTTAGCACCATAGCATCTACCCATCCTCCCCCCAGCTATGTGGCAGACAGCTGTGTGTGAATTGCTGGACAGTCTGCCCACAACGTGGAAGCAGAGTGAGCGAAATGGACCCTGTCCTCCAAATATCAAGGATCTTCATAACTGTCACATACAAGGGATCCTCAATAAGAATATCAACATACTTTGGGGCGCCTGGGTGGCTTAGTCACTTAAGCTTTCGACTCTTGATCTCAGCGCAGGGCTTGATCTCACCTTCATGAATTCAAACCCTGTGTTGGGCTCCATGGGGCGTGGAGCCTACTCAAAACAACACTGAGATTAACAGCAGACTTCTGATCAGAAACTCTGGAGACCAGAAAGCAGTGGGTTGATACACTCAAATTGCTAAAAGAAAAAAAAAGCCAGAGAGCACATGAAAAGATGCTCAACATCACTAATCATTAGGGAATTAGTGGAATGCAAACTGCATGTGTTTGTATGGTACATATAGGTTGTTACTGTCTGCCCTGCTTACCCTACCAGCCATGTCATTCCCTGGGGCTGTCAATCACACACCATAGGAATGGACAGATGATCAAGGTGGGCAACTTAGAATACCCCATGCTCCCAGACACACTGACCCAAGTGAAAACAGTCAGAGGCCTTGTGGAGGTGCTGATAAGGACATTAAATGGGGGAATCTCATAAGAAATTTTGAAACCAGGGCTGTTTCTTGTTCTTCAAAATGGGGAGAGCTCTCTTAAAAATCAGGCCTGTGGGGTGAGAATTTTGTCTCTTAGGTCAAGAAGAGGGTTAGGTATATATTAGGCCCGTGATAAATATTTGTTGAATGCAGAATGAATGAAAATATCTTTCCTCCCTTGTAGAAGGGGGTATTGTTTCAGGCAATTTTATTTTTGAAGAATGAACCTTCTCTGTCTTAAAAATAATGACTGGGATGTTCTGTGATGGTTTTTAGCTCAACTAAAATTTGGATTCAGTGCTTAATAAATCATGGAGACATTACCAGATTGCTCATGAAAGAACAGAGGAGAACTGGGTTTTGGTATAACTGGGCAAAAACTCAGGAGGCGGGCTGTAGGGAGGGGAGGTAGCTATGTGGACCAGCCCCAGCGAACCACCGTCAAGCAGGTGCCAAGTGCACCAAGAGAAGGTGCTGTACCAGCCAGGGTCAAGGGTCCCAACAACCCAGCTGGAGTGGAGTCTCCCGTGACCCCATTCCCTGTCTCCACAGGAGTGGAGGAGTCAGAATGTCTCCTGAGCTCAGACCAGGCAATCACCCAGTTTAACAAGAACAGAAATTTTGCATCCTCTCCTCCCCAGAGGAGATACCTGTTCTGCTCTATGAGGCTTTGCCACCCATCCCGCTGTCCCACAGGCACGTCCCCAGGGCAGCTCTAACTCCAAAGGGATGTAGTTCTCGCAACAGTGTTTGAGTGATGGGACTGAGCAAGCCAGTATCTTGAGCTGTCATGTCAGGGAACAGAGGTCACTGCTACATCCATTGTACAGATGAGGAAACTGAGCACTGGAGCCATCAACAACCTACTGAAGATTGAGCTTGACAGTCTACACTTCAACTTGGCTCTGACTCCAACATTCATATTCTCACCACTGGACCCTGGTGCCTCTTCGATTCCTGCTAACCTCCTAGAGAGGAGGAGGCCTGGGAGGCCAAACAGACCCAGAGGTTTGCCAGGGAGGAGAGGGGAGACTGTGGCCCAGCCAGGCCAGCGAATCTCAGGGTGATGAGCATGAGGCCTCTCATTTACATTGTTCTAAAATACTTTATTTTAAGGTCTCCGCTCTTGAACTAGACGACTGGCTCACTGGGGACTAGCACTTTCCACATCTCTGTGCAGCCCCTTTATTCAGGACTAGACACATTAAAAATTGTCCATTCTGGTTAATGAGCGCTTAGGTGAGATTTTTTTTTTTTTTAAGTCTGTGGGGGTACGTGACATGAATGTTTAGCAAGTGAAAAATTTTAATAGCAAAACACAAAAGAATGTTTTACCTCATCGTTGTAAGTTGTAACAGTCACAAACATTCCCAAGCCAGGAGCAGATTCAAGGAAATCTTGTCTGTGTATGTCCCACTGCTGTATCTTGAAAGTCCCTGTTTCAAAAACATAAAACATTTATTATAAAATAAGTGTAGGAAATACTTGCACATGATTACTGAAAAATGAATTTATTTTATTCAAATTATCTAAATCACAAAACACTGTGAGTGTGGTGATGAGGTCACATAGCTGAGTGGGAAGACCAGGGATAAAGGGGGAGGTGGGGGCTCCTGGTCCAACCCTCGTTCTTGCCACCCCCCACGTCCCCCCCCCCCCCCGGGACCGCACCCCTCTGGCCTCCCCTCCCTCGGAAAATGGGGAAAATATGTATCCCTCCCAAGTCTTCAGAGTTGTGAGGACTATTGAAAAAGTAAAAAGCCTGTGAAAGCTTTCTATCTAGAATGCAAACTTCCTGTGGGTCAGGACTTTCCCAGTGACCCCAGTAGTTCTGTCTTTGGTCTCTTCCTTCTCTAACTTACCCAACACGATTCCCTCCTAAGGCATCGGTGTATCCTGTCAAGTCCTTTCTATGCCCGCCTTCCGAGGCTCCTGCTAAAGTTTGCAGCACGGAAAGAGCCTCTCACTTCCTCCTTTTCGTATATGAAAGCATCATACAGCTTAACTTGCCCCTGAGCCCTTGCAAGGTACAATGGTAATGAAAACAAAGTTCATGTTTGTTGAAAGCCGTTGAAAAATAACCAGTGGTGCCTTATGCACACCAGGTACCATGCCAGGCACCTAACATGCCATCCAGTGATTCTTCAAATGTGCTCCAAGGAGGTATTTTTACTCCTTCACTGAGTCCGTTTTAAGTATGAGCTCCTTGCACGGAGATAGCACTGTTCTAGGAGCTGAGGACAGAGAGTAAGAAAATAAGTATATAATGTGGGAGATGTTACGAATGCCGTGAGAAAAAGCAAGTAAAAGGGATAGGGAACTTTGAGTATTATATGGGGAAGTCGGGAAAGCTTCTCTGAAGTTTGAGCAAAGACCCAAAGGAATGGGGGGGAAATATGTACTTATTTTTTACTATGTTTAAGTTATGTCTGTACATCACATTTAGTGCTAACGATTTGCCAAGCATTCTAAGACTATTCTCTAAGAGTATTCTAATGCATAGTCTGAATTTTCATGACAACACTATGTAAGTGATATTATAGATATTCTTAAAAATTTGTTTATTTATTTTGGGGGAGATAGGGGCAGAGGGAGAGAGAATCCCAAGCAGACTCTGCTCTGAGCACAGAGCCCCATGCGGGGCTCAATCCCACAACCCCAAGATCATGACCTGAGCCTAAACCAAGAGTCCAATGTCTAACCAACTGCACCACTGAGACGCCCCAGTGATACTACTTTAATGACAATTTTACATATGATGAAACAAAAACACAAAAAAGTAATTTGTGTAAGGTCCCACACCTAGCAAGTGGCAGAGTCAGGATTCAAATCCAGGCAGTGTAGTACCTTTCCCCTTTCTCGCACATCATGCTGGTGGCTCCTGGGGCAGGATGGTTTCGAGTGGGAGTGAATGCAGAGGTCCTGGGGCAGGAGCATGCCGGGGTAGCCAAGGAACTGCAGAGTGGCTGGAGTGAGGGGAGCAGGGAGAGCATGGTATGTGACGTGGTGGGAGTGTGGCAGGGTCCAGGTCAGGGAGGGTCTGGGGAAGCGGCTGGCTGGAGTGGAACGCTGGGGAGAAGAGCGAAGGATCAAGAACAGAGCATGTGCGAGTGGCGGAGGTTGTGGAAAGTGTGGGATTGTGTGTTGCTGCCCTGATCTCACAGGTTGGAAACTGACTCCAGGATTAGGTCACATGGCTCATGAGCTGCAGAGGCTGAGCTCCATCCGCCTAGTCCAGAGCCCAGAGCCACAGGTCCAGGCCTCAGGCCTCCCTGGAGGCGAGGACACTGGTCCCTGACAGGCCTGAGAGGGGAACGTGCTTGGACGCAGACCAGAGGAGCAGGCCTTCCAGAGTGAGGTCCTCGGGATCCAGATGACAGACAGACACTGGCCCCACAGTCTCCGGCCCCACAGTCGCCGGCCCTACAGTCGCCAGCCCCACTGTCGCCAGCCCCACTGTCGCCAGCCCCACAGTCACAGGCCCCACAGTCACAGGCCCCACAGTTGCCGGCCCCACAGTCATAGGCCCCATAGTCGCCGGCCCCACAGTCGCTGGCCCCACAGTCTCAGGCCCCAGTCTCTGGCCCCACAGTCACAGGCCCCACAGTCACCAGTCCCACAGTCTCCAAATCTTCCTTCCTCCTGCTGGGATAGTAAAGTGGTAGCTAAGGTAATTGCAGGTGTAAGGTGCATGTCTTCATGTTGGGTCCACAGTTGACCGGGAGTGTAGGGTGGGAGCTCCCCTGCCCACCTCCAGACTCTGTTCTTAAGGACAAAAATATATAAATGGAACATGGAGAGAGACCATGCATCACTGTTAGGGAAACCACAGTTTGAATGACTGCATATTTCTCATCAGAAACATGGAGGCCAGAGGGAAGAGGCACATGTTGAAAGAGTGGTCAAACAACACTATATCCACGAAAAGTAGCCTTCAGAATGAAGGCAAAATATTCTTAGGTCAAGGAAAACCAAGGGAATTTTTCACCAAACACCTGCTTTAAAATAGTTGTTTAAAGAAGTTATTCAAAGAACTTTAAAGCAAATGATAAAGAACTTTGGAACATCAGGAATGAAGAGAAAATAATAGAAAGAGTAACTAGGAAAACAGCAGAGCATTCTCTATTCTTAAAATTGTTTGACAGTTGAAAGCAAACAGTATATATAATATTGTCTGATGTGGTTCTCGAAGCTTGTAGAGATTATATTTAAGACAACTCTATTATAAAGGGTGGGGAGGGCAAAGGCATATGGTCATAAGGTTTCTGCATTCCTGCTGAAATGACAAAATATGGATCCTTGTAGACTGTGAGAAGTATGCATAGTGTAATCCCTACAGCAACCACTAACAAAAACTACACAAAGATATATAGTGAAAAATACTATAGATAAAGCAAAAGTAGGATATTACAAAACATTCAAGTGACCCATAGGAAGCTAGGAAATGGAAAATGGGAACAAAAAGCAGAAGGAACAAAAAGAAAAAAATAATAAAATAGCAGTCCTAAATCCTAACATTATACATTATATGTAATAATTACATGTAAATGGCCTAAACAGAGATTAAACAAAGATTGTCCGAATGGATTTTTATTTTTATTTTTATTTATTTTTTTAACAAATATTTTTTAAAAGACTTTATTTATTTATTTGTGTGAGAGAGAGAGCAAGCGAGCACAGGCAGACAGAGTGGTAGGCAGAGGCAGAGGGAGAAGCAGGCTCCCTGCCAAGCGAGGAGCCCGATGTGGGACTCGATCCCAGGATGCTGGGATCATGATCTGAGCCGAAGGCAGCCGCTTAACCAACTGAGCCACCCAGGCGTCCCTGGATTTTTTTTTTTTTAATGACCCAACTATTATGTGGTGTACAGGGAAGTCACTTTGGATATAATGCTGTAGATAGGTTACAAGTAAAAGGATAAAAAAAGCATATCATTCTGATGTTAATGACAGAAATCTTGAGCGGCTCTCTAAGTATTAGATAAAGTAGACTTCAGAGCAATGAAATTTACCAAATTTACCAAAGATGGACATTACATAATGATAAAGGGGTCCTTTCACTCCGAAGACAACCACCCTAAAAGCATAAACAGTTTGAAAACACATGACGTAAAGCAACTGAAAAGAGAAGTAGACAAAGGCACAGTTGTGGGGACGGCACTTGTCAGTAACAGAGGGAGAACGAGCCTGCAGGTGGAAGGGCTGAGCACCACCAGCCAGCAGGACCTACCTGACACCACAGAGCACGCCCCGCCCCCCAGCAAAAGCAGAATATGCGTTTCCTTTCAAGTACTTAATGGAAAGTTCACCAACTTGAGCAAGAAAGCCCCAAACCTGATCCAGCACCTTTGCTGAAGCAGCTGAATGTTCCTGGAAGGAGCACAAGGCCAGGCTGACGGATCACTTTGCAAATGTTTGACCAGCTGAAAATCTCTTGTTTCCCATTCTGTGAAACTTGTCAAATCTTCCTCCTGGCCCACTTCCAGCACCCTGCCCCGCCTCTCAGATGGGAATGGTCCTCATCCCTGTACCGTAAGTCCTCTGCAACTCTCCCTTGCTGCCCTGGCTCTTGCTGGAGTGGTTGGGGCGTCCCCTCCCATTTCTCTGGGACTTTGTTCTTGTTGCTGTTCCCACACTTGCCCATAGTGGGTGATTCTCGTCAGCATGCCAGCTGTCCTCGCAGTCGGGCAGTCCCCTTGCCTGCACTCTGCAAGGTGCTAGAGCTCAGGGGTCACTGTATTCCTCTCTCGTGGGCCTCTTGGACCTGACAACAAGCTGAGGGCAGTGTTTGGCTCTAGGGTAGGGGCTCAGTAAGGTTTTGTGAATGAGTGTGTTTCCCACGGAACATGTTCAATGAAGATTTTGAATGAATGAGTGCAGGTTGGGCCCATTGTTAAAGCGCCAGTGTTCCTGGCATGCTGCCTTGTATTATCAGAACAAGTGAGAGTGGTTTTTGCTTGCTTTGCCATTTTCTGCTGGCCCTGAGCCTGCCCCCTGCAGCCTCCCACAGCCCTCAAAGGCTGGAGGGGAGGGAAGGCGGGAGGTGTCGTTCCCCCAGGCTGCCACCAGATGGCAGTAGAGAAGCACCTTTCCCCGGGAGTCTGCCAGGGAGCATGCCCATGTCACTGTCGGGGGCATGAGCACATTCAAAGAGGGGACAGGCTGCCCCGTGGTGCTTCTAACCACACGTACAGAGAGCGGCAGGGTGTCTAGCTCTGAGCAGGAACACTTGGCCAAGACCCTGCCCTGCTCTGCTTCACAGTTGCATTGGGTAAAGCCATGATAGTAATGGTCAACCTCTTAGTGTAGGAAGATTGTGTGTTTAATGCAGAACTTAGCGTGTCGTAAGCGCAATGTAAACACTTGATCAATTATTTCTGACCTTGTTATTGGACTTTTAATGTCCAGTGTCTTCCCTCAGCTCCCACAGAACCCTA